CACCCGGTCGCACCCGAACCCAGTATCCCCTTTCCCCAAAGGACTGGCGCATTTGACACCGACACGCCTTCCCGCAAGGACTGACACGCGAATCCTCGCAGAGGGTTGCAAATTTTGGAGGCTGACACACAGGAACCCTACAGAGGGTTCGGAATTTAATCCATGCCATGTGCTTTCCCCCAAGTACTGACGGACACCGGCGAGTAATCCAAAGCCCCGACATACACGGCATCTCGACGTGCACAAACCTTCGCAAACAAGACACATAGCAAAATTTATGGAATGAGAAAATCAGCAAAAGAAACCATGATGCTCGATGCGGGGTGCAAATTCCACGATGCTCCCAAACAGCAACATGCGCTTTTAAGCTTTCTGCGAACGGCCGATGTGAAGAATGCCTCGTAAAAACGAGCGCGGACGCATGTCCGCTTTTGGCAATAAAAATAATGCGGTCCCCGACGTAGGGCTCCTATCTCGTCAATCATGACCGAGGAACCAAAGTGAAGAATCCCTCACAAAAAACGATGCGGACGCAATGTAGCCCTATGAAACCAAAACACATCGACGACTCATGTCCCACGGTCAGTGTCACCAAACTTGACTTTTCCACCGCAAGGGTTGCGAATTTTGAGTTTTTTCGGGTCACGAAAGAATCGATCGACGTGGCCGATACATCGTTTTTTGACGAGCGCCGTGGACACCTCTCGCCTTTGTCATGCTCGAAACACGCCACGCAGGATCACCGCAGAGGGGTCCCAAACTCAAAGACTCGAGTCATCTCAGGTTTTCATCCCTAGAACATCGACGTGCACGATTCATCTTGTTTATCGAATGGACACTTCCCGCCTCCACAAAGCCCAAAATCGCGACACCCAGGGACCCCCGCACAGGGCCGCAACCCGAAGTGCCCAGCACATCGCAAACACTGAGGAATCCTGAAAGCGACATCGACGGAAAACCATTTCTTCCGAAGGTCCGGGAGATTCCGGCTACTGCTCCAAAAACCGCTTCGCCAAGTACAGGCGCAATTTTCACGTCCAAATCCTCCACGCCTAGGGAAAACACCACTTTTGCACATATCATCCCTGTGACTTCCTGAAAAGAGAAGGCACCCACCCGTGAAGGGTTGCAAACTCCAAAACTCGCAAAAACACGAAAGTGCCCCGGACCTCGTTTTTTTTTAGATGGATCCTGATAGGCGCCAAACTGCGCCACAAACACGACGCATCGATTTTTACGAGGGATCGTCCAGCTCATGCATAGTCCCTTGTACGAAACGAGGTCCAAGCCACTTTTTGGACCCCCAAGATGCCCGAAACCTCGCTGCCACCGATGTTTTGAATCGCCGGCCCCGGCATCCCCGGCTTCTAAACTTTCTGTTTGAAATTTCTATTAACATATAAGTAGGACTCTCTTCGTATAAATCTAAGTAGGACAGTATTAAGTCAAGTTTGTAGAAAATACATGCCTCTATACCAACCGACGAAGAGCCCAACGTCGAAGATTTCGGGAAAAATGAGGTCGGTATCGTCGGCTCAAACTTGTGTCAACTATGAAGTGACGTGAATTCTGGGTCAAACAACGCAAGGGAGCACACCCGGCCAGAACCACACGCACACGGGTGCGCTCAGGTGCAGTATTCAGTTATACAGTCTAGAGTCATACCGCTATACCGAAAACTTGGCCATGTGACCCATCTGATTCGCACATATACTCCTGCATGCGCACTGCGGCTGCTTGGAACCGCATGTAAAACCTATAGTCGGATTTCCAGGCATGGTCTCTTCAATCATACAGATTGCGGTAGATGTGGCCTGAATTGCTGAAGCAAAGACAAGGACAAATGCGAAGACGAATGAAAGATTAGGATTCACAGCTTGGAAGATGAGGGGCTATCAGCGGATTCGCTTGAACACACATCCACCATCAAGCATCGCTTCCTCCACATGTGTTTCTTTTGCTGAGCAGATGTTGGTCCCACAGCGCATACCCTCTTTTGCAGTTCTGCTGCATATGTGCGAAGTTCGATGACGAAGACTGTCTATATCGACACACGCACACACCACCCACATACATGCACAGACACTTAATGATGTAATTGCTTTTTGTTTACATACATGTAACATGTGCATGTGCCCATTCGGTACAGTGTACAGCGTGCTTGCGCGAGCCAATTGCCCATGGTTTACAGATTTTTGTCGCGTGCAGGCTTCGGGACTGGTACGAGGGGAAACTGAAGTTTCAGGGAGGCTGTCTCGACCTGGAGCCCGGACAGACAATTTTCAGACGATGCAGGAAGAGCAAAGGCCTCAGTCGGGAAGAGCCTCATCTGCGACATCGCCCATTGTGACGAAGTGCCGGCAGCATGGCAGCGTGTTTCACCTGTCGAGGCATTCCTGCTGAAGAGCAGCAACGTGGCCACTTCCGCCGCCTGGAGGACCCATGTTGAAAAGTCAGCTCATCCGAAGCCTGTTCGAACAAAGCAATGCAATGGTTCGTTGGGAAACCGAGTCAACTGAGCAGATGTTCATCCGTCTGTCGAGGAGATTGAGAAGTGGTTGCAGCTGCAGCTCAAGGAGATGGAATCCAAGGCCCGGCAGACACCACACTGTGAGTGTTTGCTCTTTACTATGCGGAGGACGCCGCGTCGATGCACACAGGCCGGCATGTGCTTTGGACAATTGCGGACATGTACATGTAATGCTCACGGCTCGCAGGGCTACCTGGTGGATATCCAGTCACAGCATGAGCCGGCCCGGTGCAGTCCTTGAAACATAACTGCATGGCGTGGTGACAGGATGCTTTTACCCAATCTTCCTGCTTCCTGGCCACCACAGAAGCAGGCAGCGCTACAAACGTACGCGTGTACAGGATCAACCAAGTCATGCTGGCCCTCCGATGAGTGGACGCTTGCACAGGGCAGCTTGCTGCACACATCCAGGCTCCAGGCATGAGCGCAAACAGCAAGAAAGTGCCAGAAAAAATGTTTGCAAGTGTCCGAAATGGATCGAAATGGTGTACATTGCCTTGCCATAATTGGTGGAGCTGGCTTAATCTGACAGGCAGGGGGGCATATGCTCTAGGGACTCTAGGGGCTGATGCCTTGCTCAGCGCAGTCAATGTTTCAGAACTTGTGATAGTTGCCGATCGTTTGAGGACTGCACATGTGCTCAGCGATGAAGTTGGATGAACAGGTTGTTGAGAAGCTATCGGCAATCGCTGCAGTACACGCCAGCGTTGAACACGTCCTGGACACTGAGGCCGAGCCTTGTGTTGCTGCTTTGTGGACTGTGGCATGGTGGTGCTAGCATTTGCAGGACATGGACGAGGAAAACATCGGAATCCTGAGTATGCTCCACGGTGACCATACGAGCAGAGCGAGTTTCAGAAGCCATCCCCTAGACAAGGAGCCACAGCCTTCACGGTTGCTAGCGACAGCCGGCTTTTTATTTGCTGCAGTACCGTGCACGACCTACTAATCGGGTCTTTGTTCGGCATGTCTTTCACAGGGCTTCTGGTCCTGTTCGAGTGTCTGTGCACGGTACACGGTGTAGATTGTCTGACTGATGTCTCGAAGGAGAGATCACAGAGTCGCATTCTGAGGCGCAGCCCTCAGAAAGGTTTGGCATCGGCACGCTGCCAACTGGAAGCACTGAGGATAACTCCCGATCTCAGCTTGGAAGCCAATGGAGTTGATGAAGAGACATTCAACAGCTTGAGATTCAACGTGTGGCCTGGCAGGAACTAGACACCTAAAGCAAAAACGAGCCGAAGCTCTGGCAGCGTGTATTGGGTTGGTTGCCTCTCAGGTTCGACCTCACACCACTTCAGCTCAATAAGATGACGTGCCATGTCATGCTCTCGCACGCATCCAGTGCGGCGCTTAGCCGTGAAGAATCATGATGACTGGCGCAATCATACTCAGTGACTCAGTGAGACCTTTGGACTGTTTTTGGTATGAGCGGGAATCCAGGACATGTCGTGCACAGGTCCTGATCCTTAGGAAGGTGAGCGAAGCTTGGGATTCCGCTTGCTGTAAGGCGCTGCGATCTTCAATGGTGCTCACGGAGAAGAAGCGTTGCTCCAGACATTCGTGTCCGCCGTGCACAAGGCCGCGGCTGATTTGACTCGACTGCAAATGTAGTGTGCTCGGCCGTGCGAGTGTGCCGAGTGATGAACTGGCCAGGGCTATCCCGAAAATCCTTTCCACAATTTCTGTCATGCAGTGGATGTGCAAACAACGATTGTGGCTCTTCTGCAAGCCACTGCAAACAGTTCGTGTTTGCATATGTATTTTTTCAATAAATCTGTATGCTTCCTGTAATTCGCTTCAGCAACTTGTTTTGATTGTATTGGCACTTGTATTGCTCAGAGCTTTGCCTGGGACTGCCCATTTAGGTTAAGATGATGAAGCTGACAGAGGCAGGTGATTTTCTAAGCTCGCCGCCTACACCTCGGATGCCACATTGCTGTGCGGTGTTTCGGACAGTGCTGAGGCCATCTCGAGCAGCCGGGTCCCTGGAGGGGTTTCATGTTGTGTCAAGAGGAAGCCGACGGGTGATTGCAGAGTCATCGGCGATGTAAGGTGCTCTCTACTAGTTGCAGGGCTGGGCCATGACATCGGACATCCAGGATTCAACAACGGCTTTCTGTCCGAGGTCTGAATGTCCCGACTTGCTGCGTATTGCTTTCTGGACAGCTGGCTTTCAGTGCCGTGCCGCCTGTCTGAATGAGAGCGAAAACCAGCAACTGCAACACAGGTAGGCCATGAGCTCGCCATTAAGTACAATGACCGGTCTCCGTTGGAAAACATGTGGCCAGCTCAGTGCTGCAGGTGTGAAACCACTTCAGCAATCCATGCTCGCAGCAGAAGTACTAAGTCAAGCAGTGGGTTCTTAGTTGAGAAGCGGGTGTGATTAGGAGGGGGTTCTGGGTTTCGCGCAGGCGAGCAACATGCTAAGTAAGGCAACTTCTTGCGGCTTGAAAACATAGCTGCCGAAGTGGTGGCGTATCAGAACCTTAATCGCCAGTCCGTGCCACCCAACGACCTGCGGAGTCTGGTTCTTGAAGGCACACGCCGAGTAAAACGATGCCGATTCTGGTTCCGCAAAGTTTGCTGGGCCTGCCAACATTTGTTCTCTTCAACTGCGACCTACACTTGACCGCCCCCTGCCATGTCCCCCAGCATCTGCTCGCGCGTAGTTTTGCGCAAGCGTTGGGGGCGAGCTCTACTGAGTGTAATCACTTGTACGACCGCTGAACTACTATACTAAGAAGTTTCTAGTACGATTACTAGCACTACTAATACTACTACCCGGCGAACTGGCCAGGTAAACGCTCGCTGGGTTTGCTTGCCAGCTGCCCGCCGGACTTTGCAGGAATGCGTTGGCTGAGTCGGCTGGGCCCACTGCGTGGTTGTCCGGCTAGTGCTAATAGTGTATTAACTGTATAAAAAGCACTACCAGCTACTGGTAGTACGACCGCTAGATCCCAGCGTAACGATCCCCAAACGCCCAGGAGACCACCCAAAGACCACCAGGAGAAGTACTGACGGGATTGAAAAGCACGGCCCCCAAGTGCTGACAGGATTCAAGACCACGCCCCGAAGTCTTCCCTCAAGTACAAGAGGGTCCTGGACCAAATCCCAGTTTCGGGACCGCGGCCAGAATGCTTTCCCCACGTTCTGGCACATCCAAAAGTGCTTTCCTTCAAGTACTGGCGGGATTCAGAAGCACGTTGCTTTGCTTCCCCACACACGAGAATGCATATGTTAGCCGCCCACGGTGCTGCTGCGGCTCAAGGGTTTGGAAGCTCAAAAGTTGGCGGCAATTGTGGGGTTTCTGCAAGTTGAATTGCCTCAAATGGACGCCAAGCGTCCAAGGCACCCCCCGACCCTAAGGTCCCTCTCTTAAGGTCATTGTTTTGCGTTGTCGTTCCGATTGTATGGACCTGGCAGATTCAAGCAACACTGCAACTACATTCGTGGCCCGTTTAACAAGTTGCGTCGCACTGCAAAGGTCAACTATGTTCCACATGCCTAGGACGCTCACGAAGGAAGGCCAACAAGATCACATCGAGGTGCATCGTGCACTGCAGTCAGATTGCGGGCACACACCCACGCACGCACTACTCATCTCTGAGCCCGCTCGCTGGCGAATCTCTGCCGGAGAAGTGGAGGGTCGATTCGTGTGGCCGGCGGTCTCTTCTGTATCGTGTATTCCTGCCTCATGGCATGTTGCTGCCCTATCTTCTCTGTGATGGGCATCATAATTTGTGCACTGATGCTTGAGCAGCGCTGGCAGAATGCGTGTTTGCTGCACGTACTGCTACCGTTGCCGTGTGCTGCTGCGAGCTTCTGAGGCACTGTGCCGTGTTGTACCAACTCTTGGCCAAGCCAGAGACTGAACTCTTTGGCTCGCTCAGCGACGATGACTACAAGGAGGCAGATCTGTCGTAGGAGCCATGAGAAAGAGTCCATTCCACGAGCATCGCATGCCCTGCAAGCAAGAGTCGCAGCTGTCAGGTGCGTCGCATCTGTGTGGAGACCATTCTGCACACGGACATGGCATGCCTTTTGTCACAGTTTCAGCAGTCTATCCGGTACTGTAGACGCAGTGATAAGTGGTGGATGTTGGTGGACAAAGCTTTATTGTATACTCATCGACCTGCATGCATCCTTGGCTGCACCATCTTTGTGTCGATCGCAGCCTCCATTGTAGAAATACACTAAGGGCCGGAGGAGGGGAGTTCAAACCTGGGTTCAACTTGAGTTTGAACTTTTTTCAAGACGAGTTCGAACCTGGGTTTTCGTTGGCCGCCACCGTGCTTGAAGCGACAGCCAAAGGAAATTCACATGTGTTCTGTAGATGAGCCTCAGGAATCGGCCATTTCCCCGTCTGGACTTCTCCCCACAAGCTTCGTGAAGCTATCACGGTAGTGTGGACAGCGGCAGAAGTTGACAGAACTGCTTCTTTTGCCGCTGGAAGTCGATACTACCGAAGCCTGTCGGAAGTTGGCAAGTCGGAGCGTGCTTACATAATCTCACGTCAAGATGCATGAAGCCATGCTGCAGTAATGCGCACGTTGTGAACTTGTGGAAATCTCAATTTGTTGTTGTTATGACAGCATCTGCCGAAAGACAGCGATCGGGACAACGGCTGGATGGGGCACGGCACCCCCACCCATTCTCAGCTGCTTACAGGCTTGCAGCATCCGGCCCGGCCGGGCCACTGCTACGCTTTGCTACCGCTTTGCTGCTTGCTTCGGTGCTGCGCCAGTCAAAGTTGAAAAGGTTCATAATGAAGACTTTTACTGATTACTGCATCAACCCACGAATAACAGCAGGGGCGGGACCCCTGTTGATTACAGTATCAGCTTGGATCCCTTCTGGACTTTCTCCGAAGCAGAAGTGCAGTTAGAGTTGCTGACTCAGGCCATCAGAACATGGTCAAAGACCTCAACCTTCTGTACCAGATTCATGCGGAGGTTACTTGAAGTGTACTGTCGCGTGGAGAGAGACATGGCAAGCAAGCTAGAGAGACCACCATCGAGCCAGACGACCGCAGGCGTTGCGGCAATCGGCTTCTCCTCAGCCCGGGAGGGTCAGCAGCAGACCATCTATTGCCAGACCGAGTTCGGTGCTCGGGTGTTTGCTGGTACCAGATCGATGTTTGCCCGTCAAGAAGCAGAGCTCGAGGCAGACGGCGCAGGAGTGTGCTGGAGGGTGCAACGGACCCGTCTCAGATCTTCTCAGCGTGCAGCTCCAAGCAGCACCTACATCGACAGCGCAGTGCATTATCTTGTTTGTGGTCCAATAGTCAGAGGCCGGAGCACAAAATGCTGGTGATGGAGTCGCTGCTGCACGCAGCTGATGTGTTGGAGTCTTGGGAATGGGGGTCGACGGCAATCTACAGAGAGGAAACTTGTATGTAATATTATATAATGTCGTGATGCAGACAATCTGTTGCAGACAGACATGCATGGCGGACAAACGTACAAACTCTGCAGCCCATCGCCGCAGCGAGCAAGAATCTAGACATATGTAGACAATTCGTACGTAGGAGTTCTTCGCATTTTGCCATACTGTACTCCATAATCAGGACAAAAAACATACCTTTCGACATCCTTGTGCACATGAGCGGGCCACATGCTCGTGGATGAACCACACCCTTGCATGAGGGCAGTTCTAGGCGAGAGGACTGAAGGCTTCCGGCGTGATGCGAAGACGGTTACAGCACAAACAAGGGGCTTTCTAGACAATAGACCGGACTTTCCGGAGTGAGCCTGCGCAATTCGTTAAAGGAGCTCCGTTGCGACAGTGGCGTGAGCCAGCTCTCCTGCCATTTCTTACATTTCAATTTCGCTTGCTTGCCAGTTGAAGCGCGCTTGAGGTTACAAAAATGCGGCCATCCTTGCGTTTCTTGCCATCGGCACTGTGCTGATGCCAAATCTGCTTAGCCGGATGTTCTGCCGTTGCGAAGTCATTGAACCTCAGACAATTGAAACAGGGGCGCTTTATCCGCGTCGGTTCTTCGAGCCGGTCGCGAGGTTGCGCCGTTGAACAGTGACACCCATGTGACGGCCCATGTGTTCAAAACGACCGTCGCCCGGGCAGCACGGTGCATTGTGGCAAGATGCCAATACCACGACCACATCATCGTGCACGTGTGCCCTTTGTTTACTGGACTGCTTCTTTAATCTTTAACATGGTCGGTTCTGAATCCTCAAGCGCAGCTACGTCAAAGCGTTTCCAAGATGAGCGCATGAGAGGTTGAAAAGGAGAGATGATGATGAACACTCACACTCACGAACGAAAGGTCCACAACCGTGCCCTCATTGATCTGAGTTTGTGGCGGGGTTCGATCTCGGAAATCAATAGTTGTTCTCAAGAGCAACGCAAACTACCGTTTCTTTCAACGCTGCACTTGGAGGTACGGTATGCATTTGCGCCTGACTGGTACATATGGAGTGGGACGTGTGGGGCGGGTTGCTGGTAACATTTGGTACCAACAGTAGCATGGCATTTCCCGAGAGACTTCCCGAGCTGCACCAACCGGATGTATCAAGTGTACGAACTCCACCGTATCAAAACTACCGTAGCATTTCGAGGAGCGATTTACTAAAAGAATGTCATGCTAAACTTTATCCTGGAAATGTGACGCGGCACGGTCCGGTCCGTACTGCTCGTCCCGCATGTCCGACATTCGTTCTTTTTGTCATCTGTCCCGTCAGCTCGCTCCATGTGTCCCACACCACGTCCTCTCGCCCCCATATGTCCCTTACCTTCGTCCCATCTTGAAACCCATCCGAAAGGGCATTACTGTTCAACTTATTACCTGGAGCTGTTAGATGCAGGCAGGCTCATTGGTTGAGAGTGACAGCTGCGCAGTCGGTGTCACGGGACACAGCAAGAGTTTCTAGGGCCCTAGGGTAGCCAGCTAGCTCGTTCGGTCTTGCATTTGGGAGTGTTCTGAGGTCGAACCCTGCACGTGAGTGGCATGTCACTCAAGCCTGGGCTGACAAGTGCCTCGAAGAGTTTTTCGCTCAAGGTGACCAGGCGGCTTGAAGCTTCGAGTTTCGTGACACATGCCATCACATGTGGCACTGTAGATCTGCGAATGCGCGCTAGGAACGCAACCGGGGCATTCCAGTGCAGTTCTTGAATGACAGGCAAAAGTATCTTGGGCAGCAAGCTGTTTTTTGTTTTTGTGCCGACGGGAATTTAAATCACCAAGCTGAGGTTGAATCGTCCACATTCACAGATCGGCTTCATAGAGTGGCTCTTCTGCAATGACTGAAGGGTGGAACACGCTGGAGATGCAGATTCGGGCCCATGCACGCGGCACAGACAGAAGCTACGTACTATCACAGTCCTGGACTCCCGGACGCTGAAGTTCCGAGAGACTGAGAGCCTGAGGTTCATGATCTCGCCACTCTTTGCAGCACAGATCTGGTGCGGGGTGGTTCGCAAACACCGATCTTAAATTGAGCCGCATGCGATTTGCGCAGGCTTTGGCCCAATCTGTTCGAGTACGGTTCCTGTTTGTCCCTGAACATTGGGATGTGGCAGGCCGGCAGCTCAGACGGTTTCAGGGTGTGGGTCCCGAGTCTGTCGGGTTTTGTTTGTAGGAGCTCTGGGAAGAAGAGACCGACCCATCGGAGGATGAGCTTGAGAAGGCCTGACGAAGCCACAGGGTGCACACCCTGTCAAGCTGATCCCCTTTGCCGTTTCTGGATCTGCTGTGTTGATGGTTCTATTGTGGAAGATAGACTTTTCATCGAGCGCAATCTTACGGTGTCTCGCTTTCACTTGCAGTTGATGGCGACCAGGGGCCTTCACACCGATGCTTCAAACACAATTAGCCCACGTCGAGAAATGCTGTGAACTTCGCGAGCTCCAGCATCATTGGGCAATTGAAAATGGTGAAAATGGTGATGAAGAGTCCCCATGCACCGGCTTTGTTTCTTCTTGTCAACCTCAGAAGAAATCAGGGGCCGCCATTTAGTCCATTTGCCGAAGTCTGCAAAAGGATTTGTGATATTGGGAGACACGGGAGGGAAGGGAAGGCAGACAAAACCTAGCTGAAGTTTCAGAAGCAAGCACAAGGGGTTTAATCCGATCCTTTGTGGGCCCTGTGGGCTGGTGATTTATTGTGTGTACAATCAGGAAGAGGTGCGACACATTGCGACACCGCAACGAAATCCTGCAAGCCATACTTCTCTTTGCTGAGGTGACCTCCCGAGTGGATCAAGTACAGGAGATGTTGTCTTGCGCGGCTATGCGCATTGCCACTTGAGACTTTCCAACACTGGCACGCATGCCCGTTAACGAGGTTCGTGAGCGCTTGATGCTGCAGTGATGATTCCGGTTAAAGTGCACGAAGACTCGCAAGCTTCAAGCAAATCACTGGTGCATCTGGCATCACGGAACATTACATGGCGTTTGTGCAAAGTACAGCGCCATCGATGTGCCCAAAGCCTTGGCATAGCTGGTGCAATGCTGTTGGCTTGGCCCACAAAGTAACTGATTGCGCTGCGTCCTAGCAACGTTAGTCATAAGAGACAGAGACGAAGGAGACCACAGAGTCGCCGAGCAGCTTTGGCTCTAGTAGGACAACATGATATGCTTCTCAGTGCTACCACAGGCATTCCGCCATGCAGACATTCTAAAGGAATCTAAAGGAATGCTGATTTGATCCGAATTGGCACTTCGAAAAAAGCGCAGGCAGTGTATGGCCGGAATTACAGTATATGCAGCCGTGTTTATTCTTACAGGTTCGTTTCACACTTGACTGTCCTTAGCATGTAGATGTGGCCGACTAGTTGCTCGAGGGCGCATACATGATGCCATGCAGCCTCTGCAACGGCTGCAGCAGGAGCGCCACGGCAAGGCCCTCGCAGCTAAGATCCTCGATTTCTAATCTGTAGATATCTGCAGGGTCTGAAAGTCAAAGGGCAACAGTTCTGCATGATCTGCTGTCAGCACCAAGCTGAGGGTGTGCTGGCTCTGCCTGGGTGGTGTAGATTCAATGTAGATAGTAAAGGAGAGCTGCCGCCTACAAGCGGTTGGAAGAGATCCTGCTTCATCGAGATGTCAGTATCCCTTGCCGTCCAGTTCAGGGACAACATGCACGCTCTGCACTGTTATGATCGACTTCAAACTCATCACAAGAGGATATACCTTATACCCCTACCTCGTTTCAGAGCACACGGGCAGGTGGTTGAGCTCTTGCAGGCCTGGCGGCCGGAACCCACCCAAGGTTCGTTTCATTCAGAAGCTTCCACCCGACTTGTGCCAGTCGGCCATCGCAGAGCGAGATGTGCCTCAACGTGTCAAGCTCCTGCTTCAGTCTGAAGACGTTTTACTAAAGGCCAGACTGAGGAACTTGGAATGCCATTGCCTTTGCGTCACGGCTACGTGAGCAAGCCCTCGAGGCAGACACTTTGCCAGAGACTGTCGCGAGCTGCTTATCCCTCAGCCCTACAATCAGCTCAGTGCACAGCCAGCCTTGCAGCCTGGCTCACTGTCCGAGGTTTAGAGTTCTATTTGAACTTGCACGCTGATCCCAGCCCACCGCTGCGGCGGTATGCAGCCCATTTTATAGAACGCCTGCTGCTGTGCAAGCCAGAGCCCCGCATCAACATGTTCGATTTTCACCGCAGCAGCTTGAGATGTGTTGTGTTCGATAGTTTTGGTCAGTGGCAGTTGGCCGCCCGGAGAACTCCGGTTAGTAAGATGAGGATGTCGGGGAATTATTGCAGCAAGCTCGGAGCAAGCGAAACACAGTTTGCCTTGTGGCCCACGCTTCCGACAAACAAACATGCATCGACTGAACGTGTTCGTCATGATCGATGTTCCACATGCAGCAGCATGGAAAGCAAGCCAAACACTAAGCTCATGTGTTCTGATGCGTGCAGTGGTGGTGGGTTGCATGAAGCGCAGAGGCACAAGGCTTCAATTATGTCAATCGCACTGGCCGCTCACGCGCATGCACGTAGCATTATGATGCTCGATTGAAAGCCAGTCCTTTGCCTCGACACTTAGAAGAATCTGGTAAAATTCTGGGCTACATGGCTACGCTGCCGCAAAGGCAATCGGCTCACCCAAACAGATCCTTCTTGCGTAGCTTCTTTTGCACTTTGAAGTGGCCAGGCTGGCCGCGGCAAAACTTGAGCTCCTGGTACCACGTGAGCGAAAGAGCAAAGTCCAGAAAGTTAGCAGATCACCTCCCTCAAGCGTCCTAGCTTTTCTCTTTGAGGCCGGTCTTTCAATCTCAATCTAGCTTCATTGGCCAATTGATCCAATCATACGGGTGGAAGCATGTCGGAGGGTCCACTCAATGTCATGGGCGCTGGCAACGGCACCGGCTTGCCGGGAACAAATCGAATAGTTTACGCTTACAATCATGCAAGGCCAAGCCTCTCGCTGCGGTGCTCGACGGCTATTGCCGTGTTGCTCGCTGATGGTGATGCTGCTGCATCGACCCCGGCATGCTGATTGCCGAAGATGATAATGCCGTGACTACGCTGTATGTGTCATAGGTGCAGGAACTGGCTTTGAAAGCGGCGTCTGTGCACCACGGAAGGGCTTTGTTCGCTCTGGCGAAGGAGACAGTGAAGTAGCTGGCAATTTCTGAGAACGTGGCTTTCACTGCAGGAGGATGCCTCAGAGTCTCAGCGAGTTGCTGAGCAGCTGCGGCGGCTACAGGACAAGGTTCCGATGCTGCGGCTAAACGGTGTTTCGTAAAAGCAGCAGCAAGCTTTCCTCCAAGCAACACACAGGAGACATCTGGGGCTGCCATAGCACTATACAGCCCCAAGAGCTTAAAGGTTCTGGGGTACTGTTGGTGTTTCCCTTGTTCGGAATCTGGTTTAGGAAGCTGGAGTCCTGTGCAGGTCTTGGGTGAGGTTTGAGCATTACTACAAACAATCATGTCTCGATTCTGGGGCTGCGCGTCAGGCGAGAATTCTTCTACATTCTGACAACGTGTCGCTTCTAGCCATGGCGACACGGTGGGCAGTCGTGGTGATCCTGTCGCAAACGGCCTCACCATTGCTACTGAACGTGCGTCTGCCTGCGGAGCTTAGAGGCATCAGTTGCATTCAGGACCTTCCCACTACACGAATGGGGATGCATTCTTCTTCCCTCCTCGAGCCATTGTCATTGCAGCAGCAGGCAGAGGAGCTTTTTGAACTCCTGTTGAAACTCCTTCGGCAAGCCGTTGCGTCGTACAATGATGGAGGCCGTACCAAGGCACCTCAGCTGATCGGTGCAGTGGGTGCCGTCGCAAGGCAGCGACCGAGCATGCTGCCCGCGTGCCTCGACGTGTTCAAGGCTATTCTGCTAGTCAAAGATGCGCTTGGAGCACAAGTCCATGGTGAGATTCAGAAGCTCGTGGCAGCGGAGATTCAGCTGTTTGTCGCTTCTGGGCTGACCACAGAGTGGTCTGCGGATCTCCTTGACCTTTGTCAGCGAACTGCTCAGTCCGGTTCCTTCGAAGAGCTATCCACACAGGCCAAGTACAAGCAGATCAGCATGGTCACTGATGACTTGGACGTTGCCTCTCGTGCAACAAAACGGGCCAGAAGAACAGAGTCATCAAAGCACGCCTAAGTCTCAGCTCTGGCATGCTCTGGCCATCAGAATCCAGTGCGTGACATCTGTGTTTCGGGGTGTGTGACGTGCGTGTGTGTGAGCTGGGAAAACATTTGAAATTCGGAAGCACAGGGTGAGAACATCGGCAGCATGCTTAACGAACAGTTGTGAAGCCATGCGAATGCTGATGGCGGTGGTGGTAAATGATAGTTGTAGTGGTAGTGATAGTAGTGCTGGTTTGCAGTTATAGTAGTGCTAGTGGTAGTGGTGGTGGTATTTGTATGTAGTAGTAGTAGTAGTAGTAGTAGTAGTTGTAGTAGTAGTTGTAGTAGTAGTAGTAGTAGTAGGAGTAGTAGGAGGAGTAGTAGGAGGAGTAGTAG